TTGACTTTCAGGATTCAGTATCAGGATAATAGTGATTTAACAAAGGAATTATAAAATTTCATCTTTGGTTATTTCCCCCAAGATAGTTTTTAAAGAAAACTAAGTGAATTATGTATTGGTGAGCATGTTGGCTCAATCTTGGCACTGTTAAAAGTATTAACCTGTCCCTCAAAAGCTGGGGGAGATCCTCTTTCTGTCTTTCCCAGAGATCAATTTAGTCATCTCTAAAAACGAAAATGGATTGTCAACCTTCCCATTGAGATGTGGCAAAATATTGACACTACCCCTCATTGGAAGCTATACATTTCAGCAGATATGCATTTTTGTGTATCCCATTTATGCATAACTTAGGATTGCTTTAGGCATCTATACTAGCATTACCCAACATTCATAATGCAACATTAAAGTCAACCCCTAAATCACACAAATATTAAAGTAATGTTTAAAGAACTGTAATCTTTTACATTGGGATAGATCTTTTTCTATTTTCCATGTAATCAGTATGCAGGCCATCAAGCACTTGCAAAAGCCAGAACTTAAGATAAAATTATATAAACAAAATCAACCTTATTTTGACTTCAGAACACTGGAATAATATTATTTCAAGATTGAATGTTATATTTATGCCTAAGTGTTTCCTTAAATAAACGTCCTGAAGAATGTTCACTAATCTTGCTATAAGTGAGTACAAACTTTCTCCAAAATGGACAAAACCTTCATAAAAACATTGGTGTACCTCCCCTGCCTATCATATTTAGAGTTACAATATAACCAAATAAAGGTGGAAAGCACTGCACGTAATAGAAACCTGCAACCTTGGGACCTGGGATATTAATCAGTGGCTAACTGCAAACTGAGCTCTAAATTACAATCCATAGGGAATCCTTTCCACAGCCTGCTGATCTCCCTGGACTTCTCAGGAGTCACTTGATCTGAGGACCCGATCAGGAAAAGCCAAACCTCCCATAGCTCCAGGAAAACAATTAATTTCTTGGGGGTTAGCAGGGTATAATTGGTTAAAACACATTATTATTACACATTTGTCTTTAAAATATGAATAGCCTCACAATTTTTATTATTATAAAATAATGCACATTCACTGTATTAAAAAAAGTCAAGGACAAAAGTTGTAAGAATACATTTAAAGTCACTTAATATCCCTCCACGAAAAGGTCACTACTGTTAACATTTTTGTATAAATCTTTACATATTTTCTATTCGAATTACTCTTCTAAAATGGTGCATGCTCATGACAATGTAACTAAAAATACTTATCTTCCAAATCGATATCATGAAATTTTCTTCACGTTCTTTTTTTTTCTGAGTTGTAGTCTCACTCTGTCGCCCAGGCTGGAGTGCAGTGGCACTCTCCCAGCCACCGCAGCCTCGACCTGCTGGGCTCTGGCAATCCTTCCGCCTCAGCCTTCCAAGTAGCTGGAACTACAGGCGCGCCCTACCACGCCCAGCTAATTTTTTTATTTATTGTAGAGATGAGGGCTCACCAAGTTGCCCAGGCGGGTCTCAAACCCAAAGGCTCAGGCAATCCACTCACCTCAGCCTCCCAAAGCGCAGGATTACAGGCTGAGCAACCAAGCCCGGCAATTTTCTTTACATTCTATTAATGTAGAACTGTTTTCACTGCATTCTCTTATATGGGATCAAAAATATGCACCTAGATCATTATATAACTCTCAAAGAGTTTTAAAAACCTGTGTGAGTGAGTATTGCTTTTATTAGTCATCAATAATAAACAGTTTATATATCCAAATATTGACAGAAAAAAAATATTACAGTTGCATTAGAATGATGGAATTTATAATTTATTTACTTACAAAGGCATCCAGAACATCTTGACCAGTACTTTTTCTCATTCTTTTCCTCTCTTTTTCTGCTTCCCAATGCTCCCCTCAATCTCTCTCTCGGTCCCCATATTTCTCCTGAGGGCTAACAACCTGAGGTTTCTATTAATTCAATGGTTGACGCTGACATTTTCACCAGGACGATATTTGTAAAACACACGAATAGAATATGTAATCTATTTATTATATTTATATATATAACCTCTTTGTTATAATGTTTGTATATATATTCATAAAGTAATCATGAATGAAATTACAAGAAACTAGTGATATATGTTGCTTCTAGGGAGGGAATTGAGTGGCTTTGCATAGGGATCAGAAATGAGAAGGCAACTTATTAAATACCCTCTTATGCTTTTGAATGCTTTTGAATGCCTGTTCAAAAATTAAAGATAAAATTTTATCTCCATCTGTATCTACAAATATACAAAGGTATTAGCTTAATGGGACATAGGCTGTTCCCCAGATTCCATTACTTACTGTGTCCTCTGTCCAGAGAAATGAATCCACTAACTGTAACAGTGTCAGATTATGGGTCTACAATGGAAACATTGAAAAAACATTATTTCTTCTTTCCTCTGAAAATAGTTTCACTTGCCATTCTATAGAAGGGTGCCACAACAGGTTTAGAGTATCTCATATGAATCAGTGACCTGGAAAAGGCACATCAGTGTCTTCCCTATTGTGATGCTATTTCAAACTGTATGTAGTATTTCTGGCCTAAAACACACACACACACACAAACACACACACACACACACACACACACACACACACACACACACACAACAGTGGGGAAAGGTCTAAAGTTGAATTGATGTGACTGTACAAAAATTTATATTTCTGTATAACAGAAAAACTCACAAATTGGATGACAAACGGAGGCACAAGTAATGATGTATTGTTAAGTATTTAACAACCAGCTCTTCAAGTGAATTTAAAAAAAATACCCAAATTTACTCCATTTGTTGATTTCTATGGTATAAATACTCCCACCATGACTAATTTTAGGCTACCAATGTAAAGTCCATGAGCAGGAGATGGGAAGAGATGTGCAAGGTCAGCCCTCATGAGCTAATGTGAGCTGGCTGCAGCACACAAGTGGCATAGACATGGCAGGATGCTAAGAAACCACCTTGAGATCACCTTGCCCTCCAAGGTGAACCCGTGACTGCCAGGCCAGAGCACATTCCTGCTTTTAGTTGCCTTCCCCAGGAAGTGTAAAGTAGAGATAATTGAGCAAAAAACTGCACTGTGTTGTTATTATGGAGAGAACCCTGACAGGGAGCTGGACCTACATTCAAAAGGTCTCTGGGTGGAGAGAGGCCTGTGAGGTGGCTGGGGCCTAGCTTGGGAGCAACCTCTTTGGGGACAAAGTTACACAATGGCTGAAGACTAAGGGGAGAGATGTTACTGGACAAATCCTTAGCAGAAAAAAAACAGCTGGGCCAGAGCAGAGGTATTCCTCTGTAGTTTCTTCTCTTTCTGAAACTGGTGATAACTCTTGGCAAATGGTGCATATGTTTTACTCTCCTCATCTGTCTTTGCAATTCTCTTTGTTACTCTCCTTATGATATTGTTCAATTATTGCTCAATTATAGTTTTCATAAGTGTGGTCACCAGAGAGATCAGTCGTGGAGGGAGTAGTGGTATGTGAGTGCATGAAGGGTTGTGTCTGGACAGTGATGAGCTGACCCAAATGATATCTTGTAGTAAAAGATGTGTCTCTTACTGGCCAGGGAGTCATGATATTGTTAGGAAGGTTTGAGGTATGAAGCGTTGGAGTCCTGTCTTGTTTGTTGGCACAGTGCTTCTGTCAAGAGCTTGTACATTTTTTTTTTTTTTGGTTTGTTTGATTTTTAGAATCTCGAGCCCAGGAGTTTGAGGACGCGTGCATTTTACTCCACAATGGATGACTACTTGCTGGTCATTCGATAACCCTATGTGAGGGCCAGGAGAGGGTACTGGAGGTTGGTAATTGTGGACAAACAACCTCTTTGTATCCAGAGCTAGCCAACTAAGGCCAGTCTGCAGGACCAGGAGTTGCTTGTTTGTAAAGTATGCTGAAATACTGGGAGAAGTCTTCAGAAGCATTCTAAATTATAGCTCCTTAATATTTTCTGCTTATGAAATGAATGGAGAATACCTGGTGTGGTTCAGATTTTATGAAGAAAGGCCAGTTGATAACTGCCAGGAGGCTTTACTAAGTTTCATTGACCTTAGAATCCAGCAAGCCCTGGGGCTTTGGAGACTCAGAGTGTAATTTTACTAGTACATTTAGAGTACTTCCTTCTGTTAATAGTAGATTGATGTAAAACAGCATCATAAAGCACATGTGTCAACCCAGAAAGCTAATTTATTAAAGATTCAACTGACATACAGACCAGAAAATTTTTGTCAGCTTGGTTTGCATGAGGATAAAGCCAAATTATTATTATTTAAGGATCATTAAATTTAATTTTAATAGAAAAGTAGTATGGTTATTTTTAAAAATCCAATTCAAATATGTGTAAGTAAAAAGTCCTTTCTGATCTTACCTCATGAGATAATGATTATCAACGACTTAGTCGGTATATATTCTTCCAGACTCTCTGTACATGAAATAACCCTGATTGCTCTATTGCTTTATTTTTCTATAACTCTCTAGGTTATGTTATGCACACCACTTGTGCACCTACGGAAAACCAGAGGACAGTTAGGAGGTTGCCTGATGACATGACATAAGATGAAGGGGAGTAGGCTGGATGACTCAGGGTGCAGCCACAGCTCAGTAGCCTGAATT